TTTTTTTTTTTTTTGGGTAGAAACCATAATCTTTTCTTTCTATAAACTATAACTCTTGTTTTAGGAAAGTTACAATTTATCCTTAATCCTTGCCTTCACGCTTCCTCTCCCTCTCCTTCCATCTTTTATTTTTCTCTTTCTTTTTCTTAATTTTGTAAACTTTTCCTTTATTTCTGCTTCGTTGATCTCTCTTTTTCTTTTTGACCGGGAAAAAAAAATACATTTATGGTTGCCATAAGCTAAAGACTATTTATTGATAGAAAAATAATTTCAACAAACTGTAGCTCTATCTCCGCAAACACCTTAAGTACTAAATTTCCATGCAAGATTTTGGTAGGTGTTACTAGTACTGCATTTTTTTAACATTATACTATATTAGAACTATATCAAAATAATTAAGTGTACTGATAGAATTTGATTATGATACAATGATTCAAAATTGAGCAGTATTTATAAGGTCTTTTTTAATATCTAAAATAAATTCTCCAAATTTCGTTCATGCTTGTAGTAATTTCATGTCCTCGTTGCTGAATTAGCTTGTCATTTTATTTTATTTTTTTTGGATTGTAATCTCTGTAGCTTACTTACTTCAAATGCGGTGGAGTGTCACTTGGTGTTGGCGTGCAACACCATTCCGCGGACGGTTTCTCCGGTCTCCATTTTGTCAACACATGGTCCGACATGGCTCGAGGTCTTGACCTTACAATTCCACCATTCATAGACAGGACATTGCTCCGTGCCCGTGATCCGCCTCGCCCCGCTTTCGAGCACGTAGAATACAAGCCTGCCCCAGCCATGAAAACCGCTCAGCCAACCAAAGACTCTCAATCTAGTCCTGAGACCGCGGTTGGTATGTTCAAAATGACAAGGGAACAACTCAACACCTTGAAAACCAAATCCAAGGAAAACGGCAACACAATCAACTATAGCTCCTATGCGATGTTGTCGGGCCACGTTTGGAGATGCGCGTGCAAGGCACGCGAGCTCCCCGAAGACCAAGAGACCAAGTTGTACATTGCCACTGACGGAAGGTCTAGGCTGCAACCCCCACTCCCACCCGGCTACTTTGGCAATGTGATTTTCACGGCCACGCCGATGGCTATGGCGGGCGACATCCAATCAAAACCGACGTGGTATGCCGCGAGTCGTATCCACGACACGCTGGCGCGAATGGACAACGATTATCTAAGATCAGCCCTTGATTACCTAGAACTTCAGCCTAGTCTATCGGCCCTCGTCCGCGGGGCCCACACATTTAGGTGCCCTAATCTCGGGATTACTAGTTGGGTTAGGCTGCCAATTCATGATGCTGATTTCGGTTGGGGCAGGCCAATTTTCATGGGACCGGGTGGGATTATGTTTGAGGGGCTAGCATTCATGTTACCAAGCCCGGCCAACGATGGGAGTTTGTCAGTGGCAATTGGTCTTCAACCTCAACACATGAAGGCTTTTGAGAAGTTGTTGTATGACATATGATGGAAAGAGATGCGTATGATGTGCCTGAGAATCTTAATTAGTCCCTCGTGATGAATCACACCAG